GATCTTACCAGTTGGGGGTGGCATGGTGGCTCAGTGGTTAGCACTGCTGCCTCACAGCACCAGGGACCCAGGTTCAATTCCAGCCTCAGGTGACTGTCTGTCTGTCTGGAGTTTGCAAATTCTCCCCATGTCTGTGTGGGTTTCCTCCAGGTGGTCCAGTTTCCTCTCACAGTCCAAAGATGCGTTGGTTAGGTGGATTGGCCATGCTAAATTGCCCATAGTGTTCAGGGATGTGCAGATTAGGTGGGTTAAAGGGGTATGGGTCTGGGTGGGATGCTACAAGGGTCAGTGTGGACTTGTTGGGCTGAAGGGCCTGTTTCCACACTGTAGGGATTCTATTCTATTAAGTGTATAAGTCCTGCTCTGATTTGCCTTTCGCTTCAGATTTATCTTAATTAAACTCCATCTGCCACTCCTCGGCCCATTGGCTCACCTGATCAAGATCCTGTTGTACTCTGAGTACCCTCCTTCATTGTCCAGTATGCCTCCAATTTTAGTGTCATCTGCAAACTTACTAACCATACCTCCTATGTTCGCATCCAAATCATTTACATAAATGACAAAAAGCTGTGGACCCAGTACTGATCCTTGTGGCACACTGCTGTACACAGGCCTCCATGCTCCCTTTGGTTAAAGAATGCAGGGATCGTCTACACTCCATATGAATTCAGCTAGTAAAGACCAGAACTAATGATCTGAATTCAGTTGCTATTCTGAATGGTTGCTGCTAATGGATGCACCTGGGTGGCATCTAGTGCATAGTTTACAAGATTCCATGAAACCTTTACCTGTCGACTAACCATCTGATCAGTTATAGCCACGGAATGAGTGTTCATATTGTGATCTGTGGGGTTGTTAATCATCTGACAGATCCTTCCAACTACTTCATGTGTCAAAACAGATTCATGAAGCATGACAAGACACAAGAGTTGACCTTAGACAGGTATCTCCAACTAAGTCATTTCTAATATAAGGCTACATTGTAGAAGTGACAGTTTTGAGTGAGGAATTTGAGACTCAAACTGATGAAAATTCTTTCTTTAATTATTCTGCAAAGCAGTATATTTCATTCTTGCAGCAGGCAGGAAGAAATGATCGATAAAATGAACAGCATCTGTCTGTTGAATCACACACTCCCTCTGATATGATCTGTACATTGCTTTTACAAATTTGTGCAAGAATTTCTGTTCTGATTCATGAATATTAATTGTAAGATGCATGTAAATTTTATAACTCATTGCGATTTATATCTATCTTGATAAAAATTGTAAGCCTGACTAAATGGAGAAATTAATTAGCACAAATTTTATTTATTAAAATTAGATCATTTATAAATTTGTGAAACTCAAATTGAATGTAATGTTGTGTATTTCAAAATCTGATATCAAGGGAATAGAACTTTTTTTGCTGGTTTGATTTTTTTTAAAATTTGAAATCCTAAATCATAAATGTAATGGCAGGGGATGAATGAAGGGAAGCCAAACATCTCACTTTGTCTCATCCATCCGGAAGTATTCTAACATCTCGCCATTGTAACATCCAATTGCATTGTAGCTTAAATAAAGGCAAAATACTCTGCATGCAGAATATCTGAAACAAATACTGAGTGCTGGAAAAACTAAGCAGTTCTGCAGAGAGAGAAAAACAGAGTTAACATTTTAAGTCCAATATGGAAATCTATGTGTATTATTTTACATTGTCTGCATTATTTTTTCACTTGATAATCTCTCCAAATGCCCATAACTTTGAGCTTGACTTTAATGTAGAATTTTGTAAAACATCTTTTGGAATTCTTAATATCCTATAGGGCTTGTAACACCCTGCCTGAGTTGTCAAAAAAGCCAAGGAATGTAATTAAACAGGAAAAATTGTTCAGCTGAATCTGTGTTAAATGCTGTTTCTGTGTTGCGCTGTTACCCTGTTTTCATCCGTTAGAAACACAGAATCGCTACAGTGTCTGTTGGGCTCTGTTTGGATGGGACTTAAATATTCCTACATAAGCAAATTTTGCATTTATTCTCAGAATATGGTTAACACCAACAAGGCCAAATTTGTGTCCCATCTTGAGTGATTTAAGAAGGTGATTAGTGACCCGTCTTATAGAAGCACTGGAATCATTTCCATAATTCGTTATTATAAGGTATAAAATAACTGTATATTGTCAAGTAAAAGTCATATTACTGAATGCTGTGCAATGTTGGAAATGTTGGACCTAAGGTTGTTCTGCAGACATTGTTGCTCTTGTCCTTGGTGAACGAGGTCACAAGAAATGGAAGTACTATCAAACTATTTTCTCATGTCCCCTTTTTGCCCTCCCGATTTCCCTCTTAAGTATGCTCCTACTGCCTTTATACTCTTCTAGGGTTTCACCCAATCTTTGCTGTCTATACATGATTCATGCTTCCTTCTTATTCTTAACCAAAACCTCAATTTCTCTAGTCATACAGTATTCCCTACATCTACCAGCCCTGCCCTTTACCCTAACAGAGCATACTGTCTCTGGATTCTCATTATCCCATTTTCCAGTCATCCCTTTACCTGAGAATATCCAACCCCAATTAACTTTTGAAAGTTCTTGCCTAATACCATCAAAGTTGGCCTTCCTCCAATTTAGAACTTTAACATTTAGATCTGGTTGATCCTATTCCATCACTGTTTTAAAATGAATATAATTATTACCACTGGCCCCAGAGTGCTCCCCCACTAACACCTTAGTCACCTGCCCTGCCTTATTTCTCAAGAGTAGGTGGAGTTTTGCTCCTTCTCTAGTAGGTATATCCACATACTGAAACAGAAAATTTTCTTGTACACACTTAACAAATTCCTCGTTACGGCAGTCCCAGTATATGTTTGGCAAGTTAAAATCCCCTAACATTGCCATACTTTATTCTTACAGACAGCTGAGATACTGAATGCAGTATTCCAAAAGTAGCCAAACCAATCTCCTGTGCAACTGCAACATGACATCCCAACTCCTATACTCAATGCACTAAACAACAAAGGCAAGTGTACCAAATGCAGCCTTCACCCCCCTGCCTACCTGTGACTCCACCTTCAAGGAACTATGAACCTGCACCACAAGGTCTCCTTGTTCGGCAACATTTCCCAGGACCCTACTGTTAGGTGTATAAGTCCTGTCCTGATTCGCCTTATCAAAACGCAGCACCTCCCCTTTATGTGAATTAAACTCCATCTGCCCCTCCTCTGTCCTTTTACCCATCTCATCAAGGTCCAGTTATACCCGTCTTCACCATCCATTACACCACCAATTTTGGTGACATCTGCAAACTTACCAATTATACCTCCTATATTCACATCCAAATCATTCATATAAATAATAAAAAGCAGTGGATCCAGCACACTGCTGGTCACTGGTCTTCAATCAGTAAAACAACACCCCACTACCACCCTCAGTCTCTTACCTTCAAGTTAATTTTATATCCAAATGGCTAGTTCTCCCTGGAGACCACATGGCCTAACCTTGCTAACCAGCCTACCATGCAGAACCTTGACTAATGCCTTGCTGAAGTCCATATAGATCACGTCCACTGCTCTGCCCTCATCAATCCTCATCATTACTTCTTCAAAAAACTCAATTAAGTTTGTGAGACACGATTTCCCATGCACAAAGCCATGACGACGATCCCAAATCAGTCCTTGCCTTTGCAAATATATGTTGATCCTGTCCCTCAGAATCCCTTCCAACAACTTACCCAACACTGACATCAGGCTCAGATGTCTATAGTTCCCTGTCTTTTCCTTACACCTTTCTAAAATAATGGCACCACATTAGCCACTCTCCAATCTTCTGGCACCCCATCCTGGTTACTGATGATACACATATCTCAGCAATTACTTGTCTAGTTTTCCACAAAGTTCTGGGGTTACCTGATCAGGTCCTGGGGATTTATCCACTTTTATATGTTTTAAGACATCAAGCACCACCTCCTCTGTAATATGAACACTTCAAGATATCACTGTTTATTTCCCCAGTTCTCTAGCTTCCATATCCTTCTCCACAGTAAATACTGATGGAAATACTCTTTTAGTATCTCACCCATATCTTGCGGTTCCACACATAGATGGCCTTGTTAATCTTTAAAGGTCCCTATTGTCTACCTGGTTACTCTTTTGCCCTTAATGTATTTGTAGAATCTCTTTGGATTCTCTTTAATCCTATTTGTCAAAGCAACCTCATGTTCCCTTTTTGAAATCCTGATTTTCCTCTTGTGTATACTCCTACTGTGTTTATATTCCTCTCGGAATTCACTTGATCCCAGCTGTCTGTACGTGTCATATGCCTCCTTTTTCTTGACCAGAGCCTCAATTTCTCTAGCCATCCAGCATTCCCTACACCTACCAGTTTTATCTGTAGTGTGTTCTAACAAGGCTGTGGACCCCAATTGCAGATCTGCATCATTTTCACGGCCTGGGAAAGGATAAATTGTCCAATTTTGTTGTGACTGCCTGGTCTTTGCTGTTTGATGGAAGCAATGTGACTACGCGTGATTGTTCTCCAGAAGTTGCTTCCTTGGGCATTTTTCTCTCAGTCACATTTCCTGAGGAGTCCTTAAACATTAATGTTGACCTAGCTCACAGATAGTGTTCAAGGTAAGTTGTGAGTATAAGTTGTACCAGCGGAATACAATGTAAATAGGTTTGACGCTGTATCAATGGCAGAGAAGTGATAGGCTTTCCGTGAGATTCTTTCATTCTGTATAAAAAGACAAAAAGTTTTAAACATGTTGCCTTAAATTCATCAAAGATACTAATCTCTTCTCGCATTGGTGGAAAAAGAAAATGAAACATTGGCTAAATATTAATGGTATCTGGTCTGGTTCAAGATCACAACCATCACAATTTTACAACTCAAATAAAAATCCAAAGATCTGTTTGAAAATGTATTATACTTTTATTAGTTTATATATAATTGTATAAAACAATTTGGAATTAACATTTATATTAATTCTTAGTGACAATATTTGCAAATAGTTCTTGGCTTAGGTATCTTAGGAGTACAGAAAAGCAATATTAAACATAATTTTTAATACTAAAATCATTTCTAGACTGTCTCTGAATGAATAGGCTCTGCTTGATTTCTCTGACAGTGTTTTACTCTTCACAAGTGGACTTAGCCAGGCCAACAAACATAACATACACGTTCAAACAAGTCTCTCAGATAACATACTGATTTTTCATAACTGATTAATCAAGATACACTGCCAAACTGACATTGGCAGTAAAATATTTAATATTGTGATTCTATCTCCTAATGATCCACTAGTTAATTTTGTTATTAATATTTATTCAATGATTTTCAGTAAATTTCTGGGCACTGAGTGTCAGAATCAATTACTGTCACATAACAATTCACTTCACTTTAACTGTATGCTTCTACTTCAATTTAGAAAAGAATCCTTTCCTGGAGTATTGTAGCATTTTATTCATTTCCTGCACAGTCATCCATGCAGCCTGTCTGAGTGAATCTGCCAATTTAGTCCCAGCTGATGCCAGAATAGGTGCTGATTTGTTGCTTTGAATCCAAACTGCACCAAGAACTCTGTTGCTAATGCCCAAAACTACTTCATGTGAGGCCTCTACATCTGGTGGGCAGAAGAAGCTTTCATTCCGTTAGACATAGCTACATGTTTACCCAATTCCAGACCTGAGAGAGTTAAAATAACTGTGTCAACTTTAAGTCATTTATAAAACAAAACATGTTGAAGTGGACAGACAAATGGTATGCCTTTCTTGCCGACCCAGTTTCTGACCCATTTTACAAAGCGGCAATATACTAATTTTTGATTCTTTTAAACATAGCAATCTTATTTATGAAATTATTTGCTTCTTCTGTTTTTCTATGTGGAATATATTTCACAACAAAAGTTATCTTCCCAAAATATATACTTCTTCCTTTAAAGGATCAAGAATGCTGGCAAATATGGATTATATTTGGTGGTAAAATATTTTAAAAAGTAGTTCTCAGAATATTGGCAACACTTACAAGGCTGGTATTTATTGCCCTGGAGAAGTTGATGGTGGTTGAAATTCCTTCTTTTGCTAATTTTCAAGCTCAGCAAAGTAGAATTTCCAATTTTGGGCCACTGATGGCTTACAGTAATACTATCAGCAGAAATAACTATATTTCAAAGTGAGGAAACATGGCGTTTGTGGAGAACACTGGAGTGATTAACCCGTATTGCTCAGAAGAATGATTCATACAAAAATACATATGACTTACAGCATGCTGAAAAAATTCACTAATTATTTTCACACATGTTCTATCAATGTTGATTAATACTTGAATTTGGTTCCTTAGGGGCCTGTTGCACTGCAGAACCTAAGCAAAGTGGTCACTTTATTTGTGTGCAAGATTCAACATGGTTAACAACAAGCTGTAAGTGGTATGACATTCAAGCAGGATTTTGCCCTTAACCGATTCCCATGCCTGTACACTTCTCAGTTTGGGCTACTGAATGGAAACCATGGCTAATCTCTTTTTTGAAGCACCCTGATTGTCACTTCAGCTGGGATCAGCCATTTGAGCAGAGAATATGATCTTCCTATTTCATACAGTTTGCTAAAATAATATGCAACTTATCTATTTTCTAAACCTTTCAGGAGTGCTTAATTCTCTCTTTTCAACACCAACTCAATCATTTCACTTTTTTTGCAATAAATCCGTTCATTTAAAGGGTCATCAGCTTGAAATGTTATTTTTCTTTCCACACTTGCAGCCCGACCTGCTGGGTTTGTTCTGTTTATATTTCAGATTTTTAACATCAGCAATATCTTGATTTTGTCACTACAGTTGATCTATTTTGGGATTTCAACACCTCATTTGCTTTCTTGTTAAAGTGTGTCAACAGAACTGTATCTGTTATTTGGGGAAATAATAAAATGGGATTAAGAAATTGTAGAACTAAAGTCAGATAAAAGCTTTAATTAATTTCTATTTATCAGAAACTATCCTTAATCCGTTCTGCTCTTCCAGCACTAAATTACAGCTGTTACTCATTTCTATGCTTTAAAAAAAATTTGAGATTGTGTAGTTTTGGAGTTTATGTACATGGTATGTAGTGTTGTTAAATATGACATAGTGAGAGTAAGCTTTGTTTGCTGAAATAAAACAGAAAACAGCAGATGCTAGAGATCTGAATCAAACTAAAACAGCAATAGTTGGAAAAACGTAGCAGGTCTGGCAGCATCTTCAAAAGGATTTGTCCTGAAGAAAGGTCAAAGGACTTGAAATATTAACTCTGTTTTTTCACCACAGAAGCTACTAGACAAACTGAGTTTCTTCAGCAATTTCTATTTTTGAAAATGCAGTTTGAATTTATCTAAATTTTATGGAACTGGAAACATTCTTGCAAGGTGAGTAAAGAATGCAATCAAAATGGATGAAATAAAGGAGATCAGAATATGTATTATTATGTAGTAAAATAATTGGCCGTTGCCAATGCAGTCTTAAGTTTGGTAAAGTACAGAAAGCTATTGTGTCGTACTTTCTTCAGTAAATTCAAGGTCAGTGGATAAACCATGAAACGGGATAATTATTGATTACAGAGAATCTGAGCAGATTTCAGCTACACTTTATTGAGACTATGCTTGGTAATTTTTAATTTTATTCATTAAATGCATTGTGTGCTTCAAATTTATCCTGGTCTGACTTGGAAAATGTTTTATCCACAAGCTGTATCAAAAAGTACAAATCAGGGGATGAGTAGGTCAAGGGAGTAGTGGAGTAATTGTCCTGTCCAGGGGGTTCCTGATTGAAAGCATTCCTAGCATTTTTTCACTTTTATCTCATTTCCAATCTTTATTCTTTCTATGCTCCCATTTTCAACTTTCTTTTTATTTATATTTATTGTACTCTTTCTACTTTCCCTTTGATTTTGATGTTTTGTTCTTCTCCTCATATTGCTTATAGAGCTTTTTCTCTATCTTTGTTCTTTCAACATTTGTATATGAAGGGCAGGCAGCAGAATATGAGTAGCTAGCCAAATAGCAATCAAAAAAATATTGTCAATTGTTACAAAAACCCATCTGATTCACTCATTCCCTTTAGGGAAGGAAGTCCGCTATCCTTACTTGGCCTACCTGTGACTTCAGAGTCACGACCATATGGTTGTCTCTTAACTGACCTCTGTTATGGCCTAGCAAGCCATTCAGCTTTATCAAACTGCTATGAAGTTTTCAAAGAAAAATGAATGAAACCAGGGAACCACACAGCATCAACTTAGGCACGGGAAATGAAGGTGGCAAACTCAGCCTTGTTGACTCTGCGAAGTTCTCCTCACCAACCTTTGCAGTTGTGTGTCAAAACTGGGAGAGCTGTCGCATAGACTAGTCAAGCAACAGTTTAACATACTCATACTCACTGAATCATAACTTGCAGACAATGTCACATACACCACCATCACTATCCCTGGGAATGCCCTTTCTATTCTGAGGTAGTGTCACTGTGGTATAAAGTATGAAAAGAGTTGGCCTGGAAGGTCTCAACATTGACTGCAGACCCCTTGAAATTTCCTGGCATCAGATCAAACATGAACAAGGAAACATCCTGCTGATTACCAACTATCAGTACACCTTGGCAAATGAATTATTACTCCTCCATGTTGAACACTACTTGGAGAAAGTACCAAGGGTGGCAGGGGCACAGGATATACTCTAGATGGAGGATTTCAATATCTGTCATCAAAAGTAACTCTGTGGTATCATCACTGAATATGTTGGCTGAGTCCTAAAAGACATTGTTGCTCGACTGGGTCTGTGGCAGGTGCTGAGAGAATCAAAAACAGGAAAAAAAGTATTGAATTCGCCCTCATCACCTTCCTGTCTTAAATGTGTCCAACCATGGCAGTAACAATAGGACAGACCATTGCACTGATCTTGTGGATCCTTCACTTTGAGGATATATACCATTGTGTCGCACTGTCACTGTGCTAAATGGGACAAATTTCGAACAAATCTAGCAACTCAAGACTGGGCATTCATGAAGTGGTGTGGGCTATCAGAATCAGCAGAATTGTTTTCCATCGTAAGGTTAAACCTTATGGCTCAGCATATTTCCCTCTCTACCATTATTATTAAGCAAGGATATCAACTTTCATTTAACTAATAGGGCAGGAGGAATGCCAGGAGCAAAGCCAGGAAAAAATTAAAAGATGAGGTGTCAACCTGATGGAACTCTAATACAGGACTACTTTCATATCAAAGAGCAGAAATAGCATTCAACAGACAGAGCTAAACAATCTCACTTCAATTGGATCAGATTTAAGGTTTGTCACATCCAGTGGTGAATGAGGATGGACAATTAAGAGGAAGTGAAGATTCCACAAATATCCCCATCCTCAATAATTGGCGAGCCCAGCAATATTAATGCAAAAGCTAAGGCTGAAATATTTGCAACCACTAGAGTCAGAAATGCCCAGCAGCTGATCTGTCTTGGCCTTCTTGTGTGGACTCCAGCATCAGTAATGCCAAGTTTCAATCAATTCTATTCATTCCATACGATATGAATGGCTGAAAGCACTGGATACTTCAAAGGCTATGGGTCCTGACAACATTCCGGCAATGGTCCTGAAGATGTATGCTTCAGAACCTAGCCTGCCCTTAGCTGAGCTGTTCTATCGCATCTACCTAACAACGTGAGAAATTGCTCAGATGTATACTGTCCACAAAAAAGAGAGTCCAAATCCATTCCATCAGTCTTCTCTCAATCAGCAGCAAAATGATGAAAGGTGTCACTGGAAGTGCCATTAAGTGGCATTTGTGAAGGAATAACCTGCTCACTGTTATTCAGTTGGATGCCACCATGGCCATTCACATCCTGACCTTATTACAGCCTTAGTTTGAACATTGACAAAAGAGTTCAATTCCAGAGGTGAGGTGAGAGCAACTGTCTATGACAGCAAGGCAGCATTTGATCGACTTGGGCAAGGAGTCCTGTCAAAACTGGAGTCAGTGGGAATTAGTGAAATACTATTCTCTCAGTGTGGTCATGCCTAGCACAAAGAAAAATGGTTGTGTTGTTGGAGATCAATTACCTTAGTCCCAGGACATCTCTTTAGGAGCTCTTCAGGGTAGTATCCTAAGCCTAACCATCTTCAGCAGCTTCATAATTGATTTTCCCTCCATCGTAAGGTCAAAAGTGGGTATGTTCGCTGATGATGGCATAATGTTTGGCACCCATCATGTCTCCTCAGATTCTGAAGCAGTCTATATCCAAATGAAGCAAGACTTGGACAATATCCAGGTTTGGCGGACAGGTGGCAAATAACATTTATATCATGCAAGTTCCAGTCAATGACCATCGCCAACAAAAGAGAATCTAGCACTTATTCTTTGACATTCATGGTATTACCATCACTAAATTCCCTACTATTAACAACCTCGGCATGATTTATCAGAAACTGAATTGGACAATCCGTATAAATACCCAGGTGGCAAAATTAGGTCAGCAATTTGGAATTCTACATGAGTAACTCATCCCCATCCACTCAATGCTTATTCACAAACTCCAAGGCAGAAATCAGAGTACGATGACATACTCCCCACTTGCCTGAATGAGAGCAATGATACTCAGAAAGCTGGATACAATCCAGGGCAAAGCAATGCCTTTATTTGTACGAAATGGACCCACTTTTAACATTCTCCTCT